ATTCACTGGTTAATAGTTCAATTTTCCTTATTCTCATTTCATTGACCGTTCCTTAAGAATATACTTTTAATAAGTATATAAACCATTATAACAATTGTTATATTTTTGAAGTGACTTCCATAAATTTATCATCATTAAAAACTAGTACACATATTAGCACTTGTAATCATTTCTCACAACCAATACTCTTCACAAATTCTATTCATAGAACATTCTACTTCTAATAATCATTGATCAAGAATGTCCTTAGTGTTGAATAACCAACACAAAATTTAGTGCAGAATTTAATGACTTCTCTAAAGTGATCAATACTGATTTCCCTTAAGACTCCACAATATTGATACATAATTCTTTTGCAATTTTTTTTTAACATTTCCTCTTTCAGTAACATTTTTGTCTGAGGATTTGCTTACCACTTATTTACTTGTTTATGACTTTGTTATTTATGCTCAAAACGGGAACTTCTTTTTCTTTTAATAATAGCAATGAGAATGTAATTTTATTTTATTGTTTTGAAGCTTTTAATACTTTTTTGGATTAGTAATTCCTAAAATAAACTTAATATATTTTAGTTGCATTCTTTTCTTTGAATTTCAATTTTAGGAGAAAATTATGCTTAATTATGGAGGAGAAGCATAGTTCATGTTTCTTTTTTATTTCCTCATTAACATAAAACCCGCAACACTAATCTTTGTGCTTAATTGGGGAAGAAAATTTTCAACAAATTGAAGCAGCAGTGGCAGAAATATGAAGATGTTTTTGATATGAGTATTTCCATTAGTAAATTAAAAATAAAATAGAATATATAGTTTCTGTAAAAAAATACAAACTAATTCAGAGTAAGGCAAAATGCTAGTGATCTTGAGGACTGTGCAGTATTTGATAAGAGGTAGCTATTTTTAATTGGAATAAACCATATTAAATAGACCTCCTATGATTGTTTATTCTTTTAATCACACATGGTAACTTTTCCAAGGCTAATTATTTTCCCTTATCCAGAATGAATTTTCTGTGGCATTTAGTAATTTCTGATCAGTTTTTCTTCTGAAATGTTGATGTGTATTTGATGTTAATTCAAAGCATTATTTGAATATTTCTTTATATTCATCTTTAAGGTTCAAAAGCTGCCACATACATCAAATATCCTTTGAACAAAGAATGATGTGATAATGAGAGAAAAATGTGCTTACCAAATGCATAGGATATAATAGCGTTTGCTCCCTGACCTGCATCAAACAAAGAAACAAGACAAAAGGAAGAATGAAAAGAAACTGCCAGGCATGAGATCAAGTGAGTTGGTTTCCTCACTAAATAAACAATTTAGAGCTTCTCATCACTTCTCAGTGCATATTCATATGTCATCCCTGGTAACAGTTCAAAGCTGATTTTGTGATTTCTCTGACTAGGTATCAAAGTTTCAGACAATATCTTTTTTTTCTTTTTTAAAGTATTTAGACTATGGATAAATAGTCTATGGGACATAAACTATGCTGCCACATTTTGAATTTGTAATGCAGAGGCTTTATCAGACCTACACATCTCACATACACATCCCTAAAGTGTTGTTTTATAGAGGTACTGAACAAACCATTTCCTCAATTTTAATATCAGATTCAATGACTATGGAATCTTCATATTATTCTGGAAGTTAGTTAAACAACTCCCCTTTCAAGTCAGGCACAATGTACCAAGAAAATAGGGTGGGGAAAAACAGGTTGGTTGGAATCTTTATTCATTTATATGTTTTGTTCATGAATTTCTATTGGTCTCTAGATCTTATCCAATTACCATCCATTTTTTTCTGAATTTTGTTGTGAAATGTTCATTTGCATCAGCTGCTGTATCCTGGATTGTCATTGCAAACTACTATTATTTATATCTCTTTCCCTTTTCATCATTATCTGCCAGCTTTAATCAGAATCACTATTTCTAAGAATGTTTTAATTAAAAATATTTGGAAAAATACACATCTGTTCAGATAACTAGCATTCCCCATATGCTTAAATACATGTAATAAGCTTTTATTTTTTTATTTTTTGTCATAAGCCTGTTTTTACTACTGCAGCTTTTTAAATATTTTATTTTATTTTATTTAAATGCAATTAATTAACATATAGTGTATTATTAGTTTCAGAGGTAGAGTTCAGTGATTCATCAGTTACATTACACCACGTGCCCTCCTTAATGCCCATCTCCCAGTTACCCCATCTCTCTACCCCCCTCCCCTGCAGCATCCCTCAGTTTGGTACTCAACCATCGAAAAAAAAAATAAATGAAATCTTACCATTTCAATGATGTGGATGGAACTAGAGGATATTATGCTAAAGGAAATAAGTCAATCAGAGAAAGACAATTATTCTATGATTTCATTCATATATGAAATTTAAGAAACAAAACAGAGGGTCATAAGGGAAGGCAGGGAAAAATAAAATGAAATCAGAGAGGGAGGCAAACCATGAGACACTTAACTATAAGCTTTTAATATTCAAAACCTGCATTACCTGATCCTTTAGCCTTTTATAGTCTTTATAGTCTTCTTAATCCAAATAAAATGGTCCTACTGAAAATCTTCCACTACCATTTCTTCACTTCTGATGATGCTTCAAGAGTTGGCTATATTCTTCTATGACTCCACACCTCTGATATTTGTTCATAGACCCAGTATTAGCTGTCACCTGCCACAGCTGTCCTCTTTCCCTTCTGTTTTGTCCATGTGTTTGCTTTTCCTCGGCTTTTATTTCTCTAGGGGGAAAAAATGCAAGACTATAGCAGTGATACTTTGAAAGTTTCAGGATAACAAGAATGTGGTGGGAAAGTAGAGCTTAAAGCCCAAATCAGAACAAAAAACAAATTAAATACTAGTATTCTTCCAAGTATTCTTCCAAGTTCCTTTTTCATCTTTCATCCTTGCCAATTTGTGTTTCTTACTATTCAGAATTCTCCCCAAATCCAACTTATTCACTATTTTGTGGATTTTTTTCCCTTTCAATAGCCATTTCTAAATTCCTAAAAATATATTTTCTCGAGAGTTTTGAGAAGCCAATTTACATTTTTTAAAAGGGAAATAACTCCTTTCATTTTTTTAATTTTTAATATTTTTTTTTGCATTTTACTTATTTATTTGACAGAGAGAGAGAGCGCACAAGCAGGGGGAACGGCAGAGGCAGAGAAGGAGCAGGCTCCCCATTGAGCAGGGAGCTAGACTGAAGACTTGATCCCAGGACCCTGGGGTCATGACCTGAGCCACAGGCAGACACTTAACTGACTGAACCACCCAGGCACCCCGAATTTTTACATTTTTAACTATATGAAGTAACATAATTCCTAAATTACTTTACTCTTTTAATTTCAGTATACCTTCTTTCCCCATCCAAATAAATAACAACAAAACAAGCAAGTAAAAGCTTTGTGGATCATACTTACAAGAGTCACTTAAGGTTTAAAATGGAGGGACCTGGACCTTTCTCAGACTTCCTTGTTTGGAATCATTGAGCTACTGGCCCAGCAACCTTCCTTTCAATGAGTTGGCAAGGTGATGCTAAAACCACATAAGGTTTGACAGGCACCTATGTGAAAATAAGAGCATTTATCTCTTACAATATCCTCTTTAGATCTCCTGCTCAAATATGAGATAGATTTATGTATTTTTATCTTTTAAATTGTTTCCACTCATTTGAAACAGAGCTTTAGAAAATATGTTTCTTTTAATATTTCATTCAAAAATAACAACATATTAAATGATAAAAATGATTTATAATCACATTTATATGAGAAATTTTGCAATAAAAATGATGCTACAATGATGTTTTCATTATTTGTAATTCACCATATAATACGTACTCATCATTTATGCCAAAGCATTTGAAGTGTTTACTCTATGCAAATCATCGTACTACCCATAGTGAGAATACAAAAACTGCCCTCCTGAAACTGAAAGTCCAAGGAAGAAGGCCTGGAATATACACAAATTGGTATCAAGCCAACTTGATAATTACACCTTGATAATAATTACACCTTGGTAATTATTATTAAAAGAGCCCCCAGTAACAATTTTATATAGGGAAAATATCTTTGCTCTAAATCCCTTAATGATATTTAGCTCTAGATCACATAAATATTTTTAAGCATTTGTTAAGCTGACAGTGTTTCGATATTTGTAGATGCTGATAAAAACAAATGCTCAAGGCAGGAAAAGAGTATGTCCGTGGGACAGTTGGTTAGGAAACATCTGTGAGGATTAAATGAGAATATACATGAGATTCTTAATAAATTAAGAGATTCTTTTTGTTTGTTCTAATATTGTTTGTCAGCACAGTAACAAATGAGACTTAAGTAATGCACAGCATATGACCTATCCACTAAGCAACTCCTGTTCCATACCTTCAGTTAACAGCTTAAGGTTTTCACAAGCCATGATTCAAACCTCTTATCTTGGCATAAGAAAGTAGGTGTGCATATAAAATAAAATACATAACTACTCATTTCATAGATGGTGTCTTATAGCCATGGATCCATTTTATATCTATAAGATGACAGTCTCTAACTACTATTAAATATCAATGTTCCCTCCCAAGAAGGGAAAAGAAATTCCAATATTTTTGATGAAAAAAATGTGTAGTCTTGGAAGGACTCTACATAGATGGCTATGTGTGTAACCTGTAGAAAATTAAGCCATTTTAAATTTACAGACTACAAGCAACTGAACCCAAATGTCTATTCTCTGTACTACATTTCAGCTAATATTGCAGAACTAATGACAGTTTTAAAAGTTGCTATTATCAATTTGGCCTACTGTAGCAAGATACCTTAAGTTACAATAAAATCTTAGGAAATACAACTGAATAATATCTGTTATAGGAATACCACCCCCCTTCAAAATAACAAGCAGCTCTTTCTGTGACAGACAAATAATATAAGAATTGTGAAAACCCACTTTATGTCGTGTATCTCTTGGTTCACTGTCCAGCCATTCTGTCATGTTCTGCTCTGTTTTCCTATACTCAGTGGCAATATTTCCCCCCGAAAGGGTCAGCAGGATTACAGTCTGTAAGAAGGGAGCAGATAGAGAGAAGAACTTTAGAAATGATTGGTGCTGGACTCCAATTATCTTCTAATATGTCGAAGCAAATAACTCCTTGACTGTTAATATTACAGTGATAGATTCTGGTCCAAAATGTAACCTTTGGAGACTTGAAGGGGTATTCTGGTGTAAAGGTGGTATTAAGGAAGAATACACCACCCTCAAACATGGATCCTGGAGGCCTGAGAATGGTGGATCTCCATTCATAGATGTTACCACCTTTGGGACAAGCACTGCAGTGAGGTGGAAGGTCTGAAGTGATGTCTGTCAGTTCCTTCTAAATCCTGTTGACACTGGTTTGAAGTTTTTGCTCATTCTGACTTTACTATCATCTTGCGGGTGTTTCTTGGTTTGCTGGTTGGAGGATGAATATGAGGAGGAGCTGATGCTGTCCCTCAAATCCTCATCCCACATAGCGAACCCTCCCCCACCCCATCCTGCAAACAGCCCCTCTCTTTGTGTCTGGCTCCTCCTTCCTGCCTTGCTGCCACTGGGAGGAGGCTGTCTTTGAGGGCGTAGCCACTCCTGGGAGAGAAGCACAAGTCAAATTAAGTGATTCTCAAGCAAATATCATTTCATAATATTAAAGTAAGAAAATACTATTTTAAATTACATGAGAGATAATAAAGGGCTATCAGTAACCAAGTGAGTTTTGACTGGGGTTTGAGGGCCAGGAAATCTATACAACGAATATCATTTTATTTAATAAATAAATCGAATGCTGAAAGTATAAAAATCTTTAGCATGAAATTTATTGAGGTGTTTGCTAAATTCAACTACTGCAAGCATTTTGATGTAAAATTTAAAAGTTAGAAAAAAAGATATTTTAAGACATGTAAAATAATAAATGTAAATTATACATCAAAATTATGTCAATTCTAAGTATAATCTTCAGATTTTCTTATAAGAAGAAATGTCTCAAAATGATAGTCACAAAAGATAAGTATCTTTCAGTAAAGCTTTTACTCAAGTTTTTTTTAAAAAATGGCAAATGTATAATTACCTAAATTGATTTGATCAGAGTGGCTACTGGCTTTAATAAACTGAAATTGTTTGCAATTATTTATGATTTTTAACAAACTATTATCAAGTGTAGAAATAAACTATAATCCCTAAAGTTTTTAGTATGCCATTTATCACTGCTTGATTTTTTTGGATAAGTGCAGTGATGACTCTAGTCTCACAGAGATGACAAACTGAGAATAAAAATGACATCAACTAATTTCCAACATCTCAGACGATCCCTAAGGAGCATCAGTAAAATTGAGTGTTTTCTAAGCACTGTCACCAAATGTAGAATTTAGGAAGATGGAACTGAGAACTGACAGTCAATTAGAAGCTCAAGGACAGTATGATATGATACATCTGCTGATTATAGGGGGCTTAAAACTAATGTGGAATAAGTGGTTGATATCAAAGTGTGATGGAATGACAACTGTTAAATATTACCAAAAAAATGGTCTCTTTTCAAGGAAGTCTACACTGAAAAAAAAATCAGTTGAGTCTTAATTTTTGTCAGTACAGTTAGAAAAAAAGACACTGAGAATTCTTTAAAGCATAGAGCTGCAGAAGACATATATTAACTATATGACTGGGCAGAAAAGAAAGAAAATTTGGCACCATCAATATCAGATCTATTTGTTGAAAGAAAATTTTACTCATAGTCTTTTTAAAGCATTATAAAAGTTTACAGTTGAGTTGAATATAGTGGTATATTAAAAAAAGAATTAATATTATATTAGCTTATTTGAAGGCAGTGGAAGCTTTGGAGAAAAACAAAGTGATGATAATATTTTAACTGTAATATCATAGAAAACAAAAAGTAGTCTCATAAAAGTACAGGACATGTTTTTGGATGAATGATTGAAAGGAGCTTTTAAAAAAAATATGAAAGACATTGCTTCAGTGATTGAATTTACTCTTTAAACTAACATTTTTTATTCCTATCTAATATGTTCCATCTGTAGTTATAGGTGATAATACGTGAGCTGTCACTTGAAGAAAAAGTGGGACAGTCAACATACAATGTCACTGAATTTAGGGAATTCTAGGCAGAGGAAATAGCATTTACAAAGATAAGGAGGTGTGGAATAAACGAGCATATTTTGGAGTAGTTAGACTATAGGATGAGAGATTCAGGGATCATATTAAGATAGAAAAAAAAGCTAAGTAGTTTAGGAACTGATCATAATGGATTTTGTTTTTATGTATCAGATATAATACAATTTTCCTTAAAACGTATCAAGAAAAAATAAATTTTACATAATAATGATTGCAATATAGAAATTTGTTTCAAGAAGTTTGAAGTAAGAAACCTGCAAATAAAAAGAGCAGTTAAAAAGAGATTATATCATCCATGTTATAGCTAAACATGTGCTGAGCAAACACTGTTACACTATAAATAGAAAAAAAGTGCAAGACATTCGGATGAGGCCTTTGGGACGACTTATTATCCAATTCGTGATATATTAAGGCTAAAGAAGCATAATTTAAATTTAAAAATTTTTTTATGATTTTTAAGTAATATGGCTGAAGAAAAAATATAAAAATAAACATTTGGAAAAGGAACAATGATTTCAGTGTTGATAAGGTTTAAATTGCTAGTGGGATATCTAATTGGGGATAATAAGTAACAAAAATTTTAGAAGTCATGATAAAAAAAGTTTTGATAGTCATTAGTATATTTGTGTGTTTTGAAGTTTTCTGTTTTAGTTAACTTTTGCTGTATAATATTCTAAAACTTAGTGGCTTAAAGCAATTTAAGCCGTTATTTAGCTCATGTATTAATTTGCAGGTTAGAAAACCATCTAGGTGGTTCTTACTGGGTGATTCTTACTAGTCTCAGCTGGGGTCACTTCATGTATCTTCAGTCAGCTGGTGGATTGGCTGTGGCTGGCTCATTAATAAATGTCGTTCACAAATGATACCTTAGAAAGCTTGGGCTACAGCCCCGTGGTCTCACCCTTCAGCATGCTAGGCTAAGTATGTTCACATGGTTTTAGAATTTTAACAGAGGGAGTAGAAATATACAAAGCCTTAGCCCAAGAAGAAGCATACTACCACTTCTCTGTACTTTATTTGTCAAACAAGGCCAGCAAAATTCAGAAGGAGGTAAAGAGACTCTGTTTCTTGGTAGTTGGAACTATTGCAGAGGGCAGGGAACAATATGGGACAATATTGGATAAATGCTGATAGAAAAGTGCAAGTTCAGTAAACTTTAAAAACAAAACAAGAAGGGACGCCTGGGTGGCTCAGTCGATAAAGCCATGGACCCTTGATTTTGGCTCAGGTCATGATCTCCGAGTCGTGAGATCAAGCTCTGTATCAGGCTCTGCGATGGGTGCAATGCCTGCTTAAGATTTTCTTTCTCTGCCCCCCACCACTTGTGCATGAGCGTGCACACACACTCTCTTTCTCTCTTTAACAAAAACACAAAACAAGGAAAGGAATTTTTAATGTCATGTGGAAAGTTGAAACAATGAAGGAAATTAAAAACAGAAATGGTCAAATGCTTAGTGGAAATTCTATAAGAACATTTTTTAAGAATTGAAAATCAATATAATCTAAGATAATTTTAAAAATTCTTATTTTAATATTTATTTTATTTCCATTATCTATACATTAGTGGTGGGCAAAATAAAAATTTTGAAGAAAAATATACATGACTTGTGAACACATTCTATGTACTGGAACTCATTCTTGTGCAATATCATGCATATTCGTGTTTTTTTCCTTCTTTCTTTCTTTTCTTTTTTTTTTTTCTTTCCTACTTAAGTATCATGATAATCAAACTACTTTATTGAATTCTTGGTAGTTGTCTCATGAAATGTCGGTTTTATTTCTAATTTTATAAGCTTCTTATTATATCCCATTTTTCCATGTTTTTAAATAATCTAATCCCTTTTACCCTGTTGGTGGGAATGCAAGCTGGGGCAGCCACTCTGGGAAACAGTATGGAATTTCCTCAAAAAGTTAAAAATAGAGCTACCCTATGACCCAGCAATTGCACTACTAGATATTTACCCCAAAGAATCAAATGTAGTGATCTGAAAGGGCACCTGCACCCCAGTGTTTATAGCAGCAATATCCACAATAGTTAAACTATGGAAAGAGCCCAGATGTCCATCAAGAGATGAATAGCTAAAGAAGATATGGTATATATATATATATACACACGATGGAATATGACTCAGACATCAAAAAAATGAAATCTTACCATCTGTAATGACATGGATGGAACTAGAGGCTATTATACTGAGATAAATGAATCAGAGAAAGGCAATTATCATATGATTTCACCCATATGTGGAATTTAAGAAACAAATCAGAAGATCATAGTAGGTGAAGGGAGGGAGAAATAGAATAAGATGAAATCAGAGAGGGAAGCAAACCATAAGAGACTCTTAATCATAAGAAAAAACTGAGGGTTGCTAGAGGGGAGGACCTGGGGGGATGGGGTAAATGAGTAATGGGCATTAAGGAGGGCACATCATGATGTAATGAGCACTGGGTGTTATATGCAAATAATGAATCGCAGAACTCTACCTCTGAAATTAATAATATATTATATGTTAATTAATTTAAATTTTAAAAATCTAATATATTTTATATTTCAGAGAACTTTTAGCTTTGCAGAAAATAATGGGTGAAAATACAGAGACTTCCCGTATATGCTCTCTCCTTCCCTACACTGTTGTCTTTATTATTGTCTTGCATTAATATGGTTTAATATGGTGTACTTCTCACAAATAATGAGCTAATATTTATACATTATCAACTGAAGTCCACGGTTTACATTAAGGTTAACTCTTTGTGTTGTAGATTCCCTGTTTTTGTTTGTTTTACAAATGTGTAACATATATCCACCATTACAGTATCTTAAGAAGAGTTTCACTGCCCTAAAAACCCACTGTGTTCCACCTATTCACCCTTCTCTGTCTCTCTCTCCTTCTGAACTCCTGGTTAACCACTGATCCTTTTACTGTCATATTAGTTTTGCCTTTTCCGGAAAATCATGCAGTTGGAATTATAGAGTACATAACCTTTTCAAATTAGCTTCTTTTGCCTAGCAATATGTATTTAAGGATTCTGCATATGTTTTTGTAACTTGATAGCTCATTTCTTTTTTAGTGCTGAATAATATGCCATTGCCTAAATGCACCACAGCTTGTTTACCTCTTCACCTACGGAATCACATCTTGGTTGCTTACAAATGTGGAAATTATGAATAATGCTGCTGCAAACATTCATGTACAGATGTTTGGAGTTAAGTTTTCAGTTCATTTGGGTAAATATCAAGAAGTGTGATTGCTGTATCGTAAATAGGGTTACATTTAGTTTTGGTGATTGCTGTATCATAAATAGGGTTAAATTTAGTTTTGAAAGAAACTGCCAGACTATTTTTCACAGTGGTT